TAACAAAAATACACCCCGTCTTTTGCTACTATAAATGGGCCTCCACAAACCTTAATGAGCCTTTCTAATTAAAAAAAATCCTTTTTAACAAAAACGCACCCCCTTTAGGAATTTAAGCCTCATCATATGTAAACAATTTTTAAAAAATGGGCAACTAGAACAATACCAAAGAATATAACAATGCCAAGATTAGTAAATAGAGATAAATTGGTTGGTAATATCAGTAGGGAAATTTTGGGGTATGACAGTTGCCCCTATTTAATTACTCTTTGATTTAGGATGCGAGAATACGAAGGTCTCGCACGTTCAGATCAAAGGGTTATTAAATAATGGAAGACTTCAAAAGTTGACCAAAAAGATTATAAGACGAGGATAAACTATAAAGTATACCCAAGAGAAAAATAGGCAAAGATAACGATGTATCATTCTATCAGAGTTTGAACAAAGAGTAAAGTAGACATAGATACGATGATGCAAATAACTCGTCAACACTTAGAAAAGAGATCGTAGACATTGTGTTTCCAATTACCTATGAGGTAAATAGCACAAGTTGAAATATTGATAACTTATTGTTGCATTAAGACTGGTGGAACAAGTTATATCGCGATTATGAAGTAAAAAATACCAATTTGAAAATTTGACTCACTAATGCTTCGAGATTAACATAGTAAGCTTAATGCAGATTATGTATACTCATCACAACCTAGGAGATAAATGACACAAAGTTGATAATACATTGACGTTTCTTGACTACACAACAGATTACATCGCATTTATTGCATATTCATCCCAACTTAGGGGATAAATAACACAAAAAATAATTCATTGACGCTTTGAGACTAACATAATGAACTACATCGCAGATTCTCATACCTACCACAACCTAGGGGATAGATAATACAATGATAGGCATGTATATTTAACACGACCTAGAGGATAAATAACACAAACTTGATAATTCATTATCACTTAGAGACTGATATAATGAACTATAGATTTTTGCATACCTACCACAACCTAGGGGATAAAAAATACGAGGATAAGCTTGTTTATTTATCACGACCTAGAGGATAAGTAACACAAACCTGATAATTTGCATATCTACCACAACCTAAGGGATAAATAATACGAGGATAGGCTTGTGTATTTATCACAACCTAGAGGATAAATAACACAAACCTGATAATTCATTATCGCTTAGAGACTAACACAATGAACTATTGATTTTCACACACCTACCACAACCTAGGGGATAGATAATACGAGTTAGATATTTGAAAAGTGTTTTGATAATCGAATGTCAGATAATTAAACCAAAGATAAGATCAAAGTTTTACTGGTTGTGCTTGTTCTCAACCAAGGTGTTTGTTTGTTTTGTGTAGGTAAGTTAATTCAACAATAGGCCCCAAGAGGGTTTGTAGTTTAACCAAAGTAGATTTTAAAATGCCATGCACGATGTATATGCATAATATCCTAAATAGATATGATACTCAAATGTGCTTATTTTATATATGCACCAAATGTCTCGTATGTACATGCACTAAGTGTTTTGCAAACATTTTTTTAAATATTTTTCTCCTTTTAAACCATTGGTTTATTTAGTCACTGACTCCCCAACATTGTCTGTTGTTTCGTCATGGTGTCTCCAAGTTGATTTGAACTTTGATATGACATGGTGAATAGCGTCAGCGAGATTTCGATAATTGTATCGTAGGCGCAGGCGTTGGCAAGGACGTAGACGCAGACGCAGACGTGGACGTAGATGTGGATTTTCCTTTGACATTTTTCTAACCAAAATGCTCTTTGATATTTTATTAAATGCTTTGAATTGTTTGCCCAATTCCGCATTATTTACAAGAAATATTCGTAATATTTTGCAAACAAGTCGTAAAAAGAAAAATACAATTGAAAAGATTGAAAAGTAATTTTTATTGATAAAAATGCCTGTGAGTAGGCGAGAGTACAAGTTGCAATTCCTTAAAAGAGGTAATTACATACAGTTTTAACAAAATTTGAAAATGGCAATGAAAATGATAATTGCTACTGCTATTTCTCCAATGTCCTTCTGATAACTCCAATTTTCTTTGCTTCTGAGTCAAATGATTTGGATTAATCCTTCTCCTTCGTGGTTGCGGTCGTGGTTCTTAGATCGCAGTCTATTTGTTCTCTAATTTGAATAAGATCCATAACTTTTGCATGGACTGCCCTTTCGGGTTTTCAATCCACCAGGATAATTTTTTGTTTATGTCCTTAATTTTTGCCTGGACCGCCCTTTTAGGTTTTCAATCCACTAGGACGCCCCTTTTTGCCCAAGTCTCATGTTTAAGGTTCACACTTAGTGGACTTTTTATACATAGTATTTTTTTACTGCGTTAGAGTTCGTCGAATGTGGCAGTTCTTCCCCATCTATTGTTGTGAGGATAAGACCACCACCAGAAAATGTTGTTTAAACCACATATGGACCTTTCTAGTTGGGTGTCCATTTACCACGTGAATCAAGGCGAGACAGTAGATTCTTCTTGAGCACCAAATCTCCTTCTTTAAACACTCGAGGACGGTCCTTCTTATCAAATGCCTTCTTCATCCGCTTTTGGTATAATTTACTGTGGCACAGAGTTATCAAGCGTTTTTATTCAATGAGGTTAAGTTGATCAAGTCGCATTTGAACCCACTCTGATTCTTCAAGATTTGTTTCCTTTAGAACTCGTAGCAATGGAATCTCTACTTCAACAGGGAGTACTTCCTTCATGCCATATACGAGAGAAAAAGGAGTTGCACTTATTGACGTACGTACGGAAGTACAATAACCATGTAGAGTGAGTGAGAGCATTTTGTGCTAATATTTGTATGTCTTCACCATTTTATGAATGATTTTCTTGATATTCTTATTGGCAACTTCAACGGCCCCATTCATCGTAGGTCGATAAGTTAAGGAATTTTGATGCTCAATCTTTAAGTCATTGCATAACTCCTTCATCATTTTGTTGTTCAAGTTGGACCCATTGTCTGTAATAATTATGCTAGGAACCTCATATTTGCATATGATGTTGTGCTTGATAAATCGAGTAACAACTTGTCTTGTCACATTCGCATAAGACGCAGCTTCGACCCACTTGGTGAAGTAATTGATGGCAACTAGCATAAATCGGTATCCATTAGAAGCCTTTGGCTTGATCATCCATATCATATCAATTCCCCACATAGAAAATGGCCATGGTGAACTCAGGACATTAAGAGGAGTCGGTGGCACATGCATTTTATTGGCGTAGATTTGGCATTTGTGACATGTCTTTGTATAATGGTAGCAATCAGCTTCCATCGTCAACCAATAATAACCTACTCGCAAGATCTTTCTAGCCATGACATGTCCATTTGTAGGAGTTCCAAAGGTGCCTTCATGAATCTCTCTCATAAGTGTATATGTTTCATGTTTCTCCATGCACCTGAGCAACATCATATCGTAGTTTCTTTTGTATAACACATCACCATTTAGAAAGAACTTTGAAGCTAGCTTTCACAGAGTTCGCTTGTCAATCAGCGATGCATTTTCTGGATATTCTTGCTTCTCGAGATACCTCTTGATGTCATAGAACCAATGCTTGTTATCTAGTCCTTATTCAATGGCAAGGCAATGTGCAGGTTCTTCAAAACGTCTGATTGTAATGCACGGTTTGTGATTCGGAAAAGTTACTTTGAACATGGATGATAAAGTTGCCAAGGCGTCTGCCATCTGATTTTCTTCTTGCAGAATGTGAGTGAAAGTGATCTCAGTAAATTCCGTAGCTAGCTTTAAAACATGATCCTTATATGAAATCGGTTTGGGATGTTTAGTGTTACAATTATTGTTGACTTGGTATATGACTAATGTTGAGTCTTCGTACACTTCGAGGTGTTTGATTCTTAGATCGATAGCAGCTTCTAACCCCAAGATACAAGCTTCGTACTCAACCACATTGTTGGTGCAATCAAAACATAACCTTGCAGTATAAGGTTTGTGAAAATTCTTCGGAGAAGTCAACATTACCCTAATACAATGCCCTAGTGCATTTGAAGCACTGTCAAACATGAGTGTCTAACGTGCCCCTGGTTCAGGTCCTTCGTCGGGTCCTGGTATCTCGTAGTCACCTACAACCACGACATCTTCGTTTGGAAAGTCGAACTTCATTGGTTGGTATTCTGGCAACGGATGATGAGCCAGATGGTCAGCTAGTATAATATCTTTGATGGCCTTTTGAGTAACATACTTGATGTTGTACTCGGATAGTAACATCTACCATCGGGCAATTCTTCCTGTAAGAGCTGGTTTTTCAAACACATATTTCAAATGATTCATCCTTGCTATTAACCACGCAGTGTGAGTTAACATGTATTGTCTCACTCGTTTAGTAGCCTAAGCCAAAGCACAACAAGTCTTCTCGAGGAGTGAATTGGTTTCGCAGTCAGTAAATTTCTAGCTAAGGTGGTAGATTGCATGCTCTTTTCTACCCGTTTCGTTGTGTTGCCCTAATACACATCCCATAGACCCTTCAAGCATTGTTAAGTACATGATGAGCGGTCTTCCAGGTACCGATGGCATTAAGATTGGCGGCTCTTATAAATACTATTTTATCGTCTCGAAGGTTGTCTGACAATCATCATTCCACACCAGTGTTTGATCATTTCGAAGTAATTTGAATATAAGCTCGCACGTAGCAATTAGGTGCAATATAAACCTTGAAATATAGTTAAATCGGCCTAAGAAACCAAGCACATCTTTTTCTGTACTTGGAGTTGGCATTTCTTGTATAGCTTTCACCTTATTGGGATCCACTTCAATACCCCGCTGACTCACATGTACACTTGTTCGGATTCAACCTCAGTTTGAACTTTCGTAGACACTTGAATAACTTCTACAAATGAATGATATGATCCTCCTCCATATGGGATTCAACAATCATATCATCCACGTATACCTCAACTTCTTTGTGGATCATGTAATGAAATAACGTGACCATCGCTCGTTAGTAAGTTGTCTCTACGTTCTTTAGACCGAAAGACATTACCTTATAACAAAAAGTGCCCCAATGAGTCATGAAAGTAGTCTTTTCCATATCCTCGGGTGCCATTTTAATCTGATTATAACTTGAGAAGCCATCCATGAATGAGAATACCGAAGCTTGAGTTGTATTATCCATCAAAACATCTGTGTGAGGTAACAGGAAATCGTCTTTGGGACTTGCTTTATTTAGATCCTGATAATCCACACACATGCATACTTTATCGTCCTTCTTGGGCACCGACACGATGTTAGCTATCCAAGGTAGATAATCTATCACTGCTAAAAAACCTGCATCAAATTGTTTAAGCACCTCTTCTCGAGTTTTGTTAGACATGTCTAGACGAGTTCTTCTGAGCTTTTGTCTAACTGGAGAACAACCTTCTTTGAGAGGTAGTTTATTCATCACAATATTTGTATCCAATCTTGGCATATCTTGGTAAGACCAGGCAAATATATCCACATATTCATGTAAAAGCTTAATCAGCCTTTCTTTGATGCTTTCCTCCAAGGTTGCCCCTAGCTTGATCTCTTTCGGATCTTTCTTTGTGCCAAGGTTGATGATCTCAATAGATTCTTGGTATGGTTGTATATTGTCAGCCTTTTGCTCTAATACCCTCGCCAATTCTTCGGAGAGTTTAAGATCTTCATCATCTTCCCCTTTGGCTTGGTTAATTGGTGCATCGAAGTTATATCGGATAGTATCAGTAACATCATCGGTGTGTTTGGATATGGATCTGCATATTTTATGATGTTTTGGTGTAACTTAGTATGTTAATTTGGAAAATGCACATGAAGAAAAATATTGCCATTTTAAAACATAAGAGATAGATGCAAGAGAAAGTCAGGGATCTTAATTGAATGCAAAGCATAACTCTCATTAATTGCAAATACTGTTTGAAACGAATGGGGGGCCCTTGCAAGCTACCCCTATGCCTCGGGCGTGACTTAGGTTCCTTTAAAAATAAGAAAAAGATCTCCGGAATCTCCACGGCTATCCAATTCTTTAGTTATTCACCTAGAGCACACTCATGGATGAAGTTAAATGCTCTTTTGGTGTTGCTTTTGTTGGATATCATTGCCTTGTCCACCACGCACTACTCCTTTGCTGATGAAGGTTTCCTGGATGAAAGGAAACTACACCTTGCCTTTTAGAGTAGCCTTTGACGGTTCGTATCCCAAACCAAAACGATATTTCTTCTCATGTATCTCCACAAGTTTACGCCAACCTTTTGAGGTACGGTCTTCCACAACTGCTTGTAAATATCTCCATGAAGTGATAATAGATTTCTTGATTTTCTCCACTAGTAGGGTTACAATTGAAGCAACCTCTAAGACTTAGAATAGTGTTTCTATGTAGTCTTCATCCACACTGATATATTTGTGGGACTCTATATGGCTTACAGATATATCCTATTCACCGTCGATTACAACCAATTTTCCTTCAACAAGGAACTTCAATTTTTGATGCAAGATTGAGGTAACAGCTCATTCCGCATGAATCCAAGGTCGCTCGAGCAAGCATGTATATGTTGGCTCTATATCCATCACTTGAAAGGTAATGTAGAACATATGCAGACCGATCTTGACAGGAAGATCCACTTCTCCAAACACCGAACTTTGGGAACCATCGAAAGCTTTAACTATCGTAGAACTTGGTCTTATGACAATACCGTCTAGCATTAGCTTCATCAGGCTGGATTTTGGCAGTACGTTGAAGGCGAAACCAGTATCAATGAGCCCCCTGGATACAATAGTTGTTCCTATCTGTATAGGAATGTGCAACGCTTTGTTGTGATCTCTACATTGTGGAGGTAACTCACTGTTATTGAAGCTTAAATATGATCCCGATGTTAGATTCGCTACGACATTGTTAAACTGATTTACTGTAATCTCCTTTGCAACATGAGCCGAGCTTAGAATCTTCATTAGAGAGTCTCGATGCTCTTCTGAATTGATAAGAAACGAGAGTATTGAAATCTTGGTCGGGGTTTAGTGTAGTTGATCCACCACCCTATAATTACTTTTCTTGATTATTTTCAAGAATTCTTCCGCCTCTTGGTCGGTAACATTCTTGCTTTGAGGTTCTTGTTCTTGACTTGCCTCCACCACAACTTTTCCTTTATCCTTAACCACAATATCATCCTTCTTTTTTGTTCGGGACCATAGATTCGACCACTGTGAGTCATGCCCCCTTGTCCCTTCTATATTTGTGATTGCATGTTCTTGGCTTGTTGATGAATCACATTCTTGCTTTAGACCATTAACATAGACAGTAATATCATAACTCCACGGTGCCACTTTGTCACTTTCGCAAGGAGTAGAAGATGGCCCCCTAATAACCATTGTAGTCTTTGGAATTACTGGTATCCTCAGAGTCTGGCGTGGTATTGTCACTGGTGCTTTCGTCGTACTTGACTCTCCCCAAGAAATTATAAGAGTTTTCTTAGAAGCATTAGGCCCTTGGCAAGAAATTACCAATGGCTTCTTTGTCTTTCCATCAATCGCAGCTACGTATTATTCTTCAGGATATTGCCCGAATTGGACTATCCCTAGATCCACCCATTTCCGTAACGTCTTCTCAAAAGATTCATTGTGTTTTAAGAGGAAACCATGTTCGAACAGATATTCCTTCAGGAGATCAATCAGAGCTTTTACTCGCCTGGCTGCCCCAAAATCAGTGACTACCTCAATTGCGTTCACAGCTGGCCCATCATGCGGAGGCATAGGGTTCGTCTTGATATTAGGCTTGTCGAAAGTGATATCTTGAGAAGAAATCAGAGTCCTTCGTAGTTTGAACTGTGTGCCAACATATCCTCTTGCGAAGAAATCAAAGTCCTTCGTAGTTTGAATATTTTTGGTTGGTGGATTTTAGATTGTGAAAAAATGTTTGAGTTTGAATTAGTCGCACAAGGGCGAGAGTGAATTGATTATCGCGCGGAGCAAAAAGGTGTTGATTATCGCACAGAGTGAAAAAAGGAAGTTTGAATGTGTTGGTGAATTTTAAGTGTCTTGATTTGAATAATTAATTGATCAGGCGTCGAGCCAACCTATTAGTTACTCGAAGACATAATAAAAATGCATTCACTCATCTTATTATTTATAAAAATATTGGAATTTATTTGATTTACAAAAGTGTTTGTTCATGTGCAAAGTTATTTTTAGATCTTGAATATCAATCAATAAAGCGTTAAGCCGATCAATTAATTACTTAAAGACGTGGCAGATATTAATTGATAAGACGTTAAGTCGATCAATCATCATTTGAGGATTTGAGGACGGGATGCATGTGTATCCACCCATCTCTGCAATTCTGTAGTTTTCAAAGTTAAAACATACCCTTTCAAGATCAAATTACTTCTCCATTAAAAACCAAAATTGAATTAAAATACCAAGAATTTTCACAACAAAAGTATGGTTGATAATGAAACCAAGAATATAATTGAAAGCAGAAAAGGGCAAGAAATCATACCTTCTACGGACCCGACGGCGGCGCGGCGTGGCTGTTTTGGGTGGAGTGCGACAAGGGTGTGCGGCCGGTGGTGTCGAGATCTGAGGCATGACTGGAGGTACGCGGTTGTCACGTGGCAGCTGAACGGCTACGGCTTTGGTCGTCGGCGGTGAGCAAGGGAACCCACGGTGGTTTCGGGTTGACCTCCCTCGTGGATTGTTGTTGTCGGCTGGCTCGTGCGTGGAGTTTGTCAATCAGTGCAGGGAGATCGATACAGGGAAGTCGTCCGAGCAGATGCGTGGGTGTCGATTCGAAGGAGAAGCAAGGGTTGGATCAGGAGGAGCATCTTTTCCAATGGCAATCTGCAACAAGACCAAAAAACAATGAAAGGAATAACATGAAAAACTATACCATTAGCGGCAACGACAATTAGCTTATCAATTTTTTCTGTGTTTTCTACGGGTGTTGTTATGTTTGATTTTGTTATGAGATGCAATTTTTTCTATTGACTTTCTGTTGGAGACGCTCTGTTTATTGACTTTGGTTTGTGCATTGTGCGGTGAATATGAGGGTGTTTTGAAAGAAAAAAATGTGTAAAGTTATTGGATTGTTAGTCTTTACGGCACAAAAACATGAAGGCCAAGGTCAGGGTGAAATACTGTTTGTGAATGGTGCTGGATTGTTATTTACAATTGACTTAAAAATTTGACTTTTGCATAAATGAGATTTTTACTGGTTGTTAGAATAGGACGAACGAAGGATGTACAAAGTGATAGCAGGTTAGTAAAGCATAAGACAAAAAGATTGGTTAATGTTAGTAAAAAGATCAGTAAAAGAAAAAAAGAAATTTATGAGAGTTAGTAATATGACTTGCTAGATAAAAACATGGTTTCTAATGAAATTCATTTTTAAAAGAAAAACTAGTTCTCATATGTGAACTAATAATTTGACAAAAACAGAGACAAAATTTGACTTGGAAATTCTATGTGAGTGTTACGGAATGAGTTGTGAAACTTGGGGGGAAAAAATTGGCTTAAAGAAAGAGTCGGTGCGAAAATTTAATTTAACAATAACAATTATAAGATAATTCATCATGTGATAAATCGAATATTGAAAATAAAAGAGGGCGGTTGATCAGAACCTGTAAGGTGGTCAAATAATGATCTTCAGACGGACTGGAAAGTCGATGAGGAGACGAGGTTGTACCTGCAAGACACTCTGACGATCAAGTAAGTGTGGGAGCAAAGAGATACAAGTTAAGTATTAGGGTTTTAGTGATGAATAGTGGATATTCGATACTTGTCCCTCACATGTGTGAGGGTTTATATAATACCCCTGACGCTCGACCATTGGTCCCTATTTTTGGGCCTGGATATGCGGGTCCGCAAAAATAGGTAATTGTCAAGACTTGGTCAAATCAGACATATGTGTTCGCAACTAGCCGTTAGTTCCGAGGAGGAGATAGGTTACGGGCAGTGGTCTGGTCGATTCCTAGTTGTCTGGCCGATTCCTGGTTGTCTGGCCGACTTGAGGTCAGGCAGAATAAGAGGAGCTCGTCGATTATCGCAGGTCAGTGCTGGTCCAGGAGAGCAATCTACTGATGGTGTCTGACGGAGGGCGGGGGAGTTTGGGTCATGGTCGCAGGGGCCATGCCGAAAGAGGAAGTCAAACTGGGCCCACTCTAGGCGTTGGACCAGTCTAGAACAATAGCCCCCAAGTCATTGCTTCCGGGCATAGGAGTGATAACTTTAACACCTGCTCGTGGAATAGGGACACCTCCTACGGGAAGCGCGTGCGTCGCACGATGTGCCTTTCTTACGGGGAGATGAACAGTTGGCCATTTGAGCTTCAAAAATTTAAGAGGTGACGTGTCTTGGGCGATGTGCTGACGTAGCGGCATAATGATAGCCTAGGGGCTAGGGTGTAACGATGACGACCATAGGGCTCTCTAGGCACGTGCCTCTCACGTGTGGGCAAGCTCAGCTATAAATAGGAGAGGAGCGCCTCATTCGACATTTTTCGTTTTCAAGTATTACTGCTCAGAGCTGCTCGTTCGTCGACCACCGCGGTTTCTTGCTGATTTTACGCTCGCCGCCGTTTCTTTCAATTATCTTCCCTCTTTAATCGGTGAGCTCCTAGTTTTTCCCTATTATTTAGCCGTTGTAGCTTATATTTTCACGATTTTCCTCTTAGAAATGCATGCGATTAGACTTAGGATCATGTTTGTTAAGGCGTTCTTGGGGGAGTGTTGGTGGTAGACGGTGATTCTGTAGTTTAGAATCGCCGGAGCCGCCATAGATCCTCCCCAAATTTTTTACAACATGTTGTAGATGGTCCTTGAGGATTTAGGTCATTTTGATAACTAATGTAACACCCTATTTCTCCAACGGTAATTTAAATAAGGGTTAAATGCACTTTATCCACCATACAATAGTACCGAGTTTTGATTTATCCCTCTTTTAAAAAAAAAAATATTTTCGCCCTATTTACCGTTGTTTTTGGTAAACAATCGCTGATCTCCAAAAAGGTAAGTTTTTGGTTTACTTATGGGATCGATCAAACTAATCCCAGGACATATGCTAATTTTTTATGTAAGATGAGTAAGAAGGAAGAACGCACGTTCAACCCAGAGAAAGGATGTTTGAGATGGTTGAAAAGTAAGCAAAAGCATAAAAATGCAAGTAAAAGAAGTAAAAAGATGACTTTGCAGGATAATGGTAAAATAATGTAAAAAGACTTTCATTAAGTAAAAAAGGTGTTTTCAACGTACATTGCTCAGCTTTATCCTTTCTCACGCAGTAGTTACTTGGATAATATTTGAGAGATTTAGTACAATAGGTTGAACACCCTTGAAAATTACACAAGTTTCTTAATTTATACTAAAAGTAGGTAACCGTCGAGGGGACATTCTGCGCTAGGATGAAGACAAGTGTCTTCTGCATACCTCTCGACCCATAGCTTTTGGCCACGTTGCCCCTTCTCAGACGCTGATGAAAACTGCCTTTCCTTCCAATAATTCAAAATTCAAATAGTCCTCGTTCCATGTGCCAAAGCGCGAACACTTCCTTTCAGTCGAGCAACATAAGTCTGTTTCAGTCGAATGAGCCCTTGGTCGAAGATTCCTATCATAACTTAGATCTTTTTCTTAAGTTATCTCATGTGTCGAATAATACCTCCTGGTTTGGTTCATTCCAGTTGTTTCATGTGTCGAATAATACCTCCTGGTTTGGTTCATTCTAGTTGTTTGGTCCAAAAGACCAAATACAGTAAGTGTCGAATTTAGGAGCCAACAAATTGCCCCCCAAGAATGTCTATTTCGACGCTTAAAGAAATAGCCATTCTTTGAACTTCCCATTCGACACCTGTCTTCCCAGTTGTCCACCAAGTCTTCATGTGTGCTTTTCGCCTTCGAACAACTGCTGCACTTGAGAAAACCATCATTACTTTTTCTCTAAGATGTCTCTTCAAATTGCCGTTACCATGCTTGCCATGATGACCATATTCCTATAACCTAGGCAAGCACGTCCCAACGTTTCCCAATGCCTGCACGGTAACCGTTTCACGTTTCGCCACGTGCCCCACTACCTGCGAAACATTAAATGGTCTTGACGAGACATCTCCCTCTTCTGAAGGCTATAAATACTTCCAAGTTTTTCTATTGGGAACTTTTACCATTTCCAGCTTTTCCAAATCCCTTGCATTCTCACAATATTGTACTGTCAACTTCGCTCTTTCTCTCAAATCCTCAACAATGGATTTTCTCTCTAATGCTCCAAACAACCCTCAACCCAAAAACGCTGATGATGTCCAGAAACCACCAGAGGTCTTTTCTACCAATCCTCCTTCTTCCTCGATTGATAGGTACGTTGTTGAACCTATGACGAAAGAATGGTGAGACGAATATGATTCTCAACTCCTCATTCCCATCAGATACGGTGGAAACATGTATGCTATGTCCGGTCCATTATCTTCATGCGTCGAAAATCCCTTGAAAAACAACGCCTTTTTTCCTACACACCCAAGGCTTAGACCCATAGGTTGCGCCAAAAAACCTAGGGAGGACCCCGAAGACGCCACTCTGGCGAACCAGCAGCATCCTCATACTACAGAGGATATCAACCTCCAGTTCATGAACAAAGGGAATCGAACAAGCCCTAATCTTTCTTCTGAATATCCAGACTGGTTGAGTAAAATGGAGAGGGTGCAAGCTTCTGTTTGGAAGGAGATGGGCATTTATGACCTGGTGATGCTGTCGAAGACAGGATTGCCTTACTGCCCCCCTTATGCTGGTATCTTCTTTGTACTTTTGGGATAGTGCACATTTCACTTTCCATCTTCCTTGTGGGATGATGACCCCCACTTTATTCGACATAGCTGCCATCACTGGGCTTCGACCAACCGGTGACTATTTCGACCCTGAAGACTTGTCTGAAGACGCTATTGGGTCCGCTGCTACAAAACACACTTATACCACTTTCATAAACCACTTCCACGACAAAGCCTCTAGCACTGTGTCGGAGGTGGAGCATATAGCCTTCTTGGCTATGTGGTTGTCTCAATTTGTTTTTTGTACTAAGTCACTGCAGGTGACGAAAAAGATGTTGACGCTCGCAACGCAGCAGCACCACAAATACCCCCTTTGTCTGGCTGAATTGATTCTGGCCAACTTATATGAGTCCATCAGTAATGGTGTGACTCAACTTAAGGTTATAGGGGACAGGGGGAGCTTGCTGCTAGCTGGTCCTTTTGTCTTCTCCAGCTGTGGCTCAATGCCACCTTCGAATCTTTCCTTCCCCAGAAGAACAAGATCAACGAAGAGGCTCCTGAAATTCTGAACAAGAGAGTCGAGGGCACCAGGCTTGCATTACTAACTCCCACTGATGAAGGCCAACAGTTCCAGAAGGCTTTCACAAGCTTTGTAATGATGTTTGCGGAGCGAAAGCGCTTTGTTTCGACTGTGGCTCCTTTCGCCAGTCGAAAAGTTGGTCCGGAGTGGTTCACCAGACCATATCCCTCGAATGAGGAGGATGACGTGACTGATGAGTTCGTGAGCATGTGGGAATTGTTTCTCCGCCCCAGGATCATGCCTTTGAGATTTAAGAGCTCAAAA